TCCTTAATAAACACTAGTTCTTGCTCAATTTTCAAATATTGACAATCTCCTCTAATCATGGTAAAGAAGTACATTTTGGGTTAAATACATTTCAATATTCATCACAGATATATAAGAAATGTATTAAGAATTATATAATATATTCTGTATCAGAATTGATCAGGCACTCTGGATAATGCCTGATCAGGGTGTGACAAAGAGATAGTGTCTTTGTTTTTACAAATTCTGTGTATCTTGAAATAAGTATCATGCATTATGATACTGGTAATCACTTTCAACACTATCTTTTTTAAAAAATATATTATTTAAAAAGAAATTATTATGTCCTATACAAAGAGCCAACAAGCTAAGTTTTATACCAGGTGGATGTTGTACCATGAAACATTTAGTGTTGCATGCGCCAATTTTGATTGACAGGCTGGATCGGTCTATTGACTGTGGGTTGGGCTGGTTGTGTTTCCTCGTTAGGCTATCCTGCTAATTGATAGTGGGTTGGATTGCTTGTGTTTCCTCGTTAGGCTATCCTGCTCATTGATAGTGGGTCGAACTGCTCATGTTTCCTCGTTAGTTTGGACTGCTAATTGACAGTGGGTTGGATGAGTTGTGTTTCCTCGTTAGGCTATCCTGCTCATTGATAGTGGGTCGAACTGCTCATGTTTCCTCGTTAGTTTGGACTGCTAATTGACAGTGGGTTGGATGAGTTGTGTTTCCTCGTAAGGCTATCCTGCTCATTGATAGTGGGTCGAACTGCTCATGTTTCCTCGTTAGTTTGGACTGCTAATTGACAGTGGGTTGGATGAGTTGTGTTTCCTCGTAAGGCTATCCTGCTCATTGATAGTGGGTCGAACTGCTCATGTTTCCTCGTTAGTTTGGACTGCTAATTGACAGTGGGTTGGATGAGTTGTGTTTCCTCGTAAGGCTATCCTGCTCATTGATAGTGGGTCGAACTGCTCATGTTTCCTCGTTAGTTTGGACTGCTAATTGACAGTGGGTTGGATGAGTTGTGTTTCCTCGTAAGGCTATCCTGCTCATTGATAGTGGGTCGAACTGCTCATGTTTCCTCGTTAGTTTGGACTGCTAATTGACAGTGGGTTGGATGAGTTGTGTTTCCTCGTAAGGCTATCCTGCTCATTGATAGTGGGTCGAACTGCTCATGTTTCCTCGTTAGTTTGGACTGCTAATTGACAGTGGGTTGGATGAGTTGTGTTTCCTCGTAAGGCTATCCTGCTCATTGATAGTGGGTCGAACTGCTCATGTTTCCTCGTTAGTTTGGACTGCTAATTGACAGTGGGTTGGATGAGTTGTGTTTCCTCGTAAGGCTATCCTGCTCATTGATAGTGGGTCGAACTGCTCATGTTTCCTCGTTAGTTTGGACTGCTAATTGACAGTGGGTTGGATGAGTTGTGTTTCCTCGTAAGGCTATCCTGCTCATTGATAGTGGGTCGAACTGCTCATGTTTCCTCGTTAGTTTGGACTGCTAATTGACAGTGGGTTGGATGAGTTGTGTTTCCTCGTAAGGCTATCCTGCTCATTGATAGTGGGTCGAACTGCTCATGTTTCCTCGTTAGTTTGGACTGCTAATTGACAGTGGGTTGGATGAGTTGTGTTTCCTCGTAAGGCTATCCTGCTGACAATGGGTCAGACTGCTAGTATTTCCTTATAAGGCTATCCTGGTAGCTGACAAAGCAATCTAAGCACTATAACTGTCGTAAGTCCGAGTTAAATTAAGGTTGTCGTGATCCTCTTATCGCTAAGATTGCTTTGTGGAATGGGTCTCAGAGGACTAGGTTGCCAGGCTCTACAGGAGGGTAGCACAATTAGCATCCAAGTTCAACCCATAAATGTTCAGTTGAGGTTGTGACTTTCAGCTGGCCAGTATGGTACCCGGATGTTCCATTCCTAAACAAATCCATCAACTCACAACGTGTTTTGGGGCAGGCATAATCCTGTTGGAATTTAAACTGATAACTAATGGTGTTTGCAAAGGGTACACAAGACCTCAAAATGATAGCAAAGCCCTGTGGATGAGCTGTAGGTGATGCCAGCCCACACATGATAACTGAACCACCACGACCTCTCTATGCACGTCTCTATGTCTCGTCTCTATGTAGAATAGGTCTTCAGCAACACATGCTTGCTGCAAAAGGTGCCTATGTCTGTTGTAAGAGGCAACTAACGGGATCGGGTGATGAGGCTTGTTGACTTGGTTGATGCATGTAATATCCGAATTACGTGGATCGATGCTCATGATATCAGTCACTGGATTGTCTTGTCGAGACAAGATAATTTACAGACCGCCGTCATATAGCTGGAATATTGCTGAGGGCGGCGTTAAATAACAAACAAACTAACTCTATGTCTTCATAATAAGATCTTCCACTTCAAGATGATATCTTTCTTCATCAAGTTCTAAGGACACCTCAATAGAAGACTGCAATAGATTAACCTGAAGCGAATTTGACCGCCTAGTCAAAATGGAGGATGAGTGATTACTTGAGCCAATCAGATGTCAGCTTTCTAAAATGATTTGGCTTCGTTTCTTTACCACCTCAATTTTGAATTTCCTTTTTTTACAAATTAAAAAACCACACAGAATGGTTCGATCAGCACCAGTATTCCTTCGATCGTACTCCCTTTTGGGTGTAGCTGCTATGCCGACAAGGAACCCCAATTCATTACTGAATATTGTATGATGCAATTGCCTGACAATCCGCAGTTGGAAGAATGTGATACTTCATTGTTTGTCAACACTTACAATACTTTTGTTTGTCAAAACTTTGACCTCAAAAACATTTGGGTACAGAGTTTGGCTCCAAAGCTTCAATCAAGGAGATAGAAAAACTTATACTGTCAGATAGACATATTACCATTGCTGAACTTGAGGAAGACACAGGTCTAAGCCATGGATCCATTGATAGTATTATTCATGAACATTTACAGATGATTAAGATAGCTGCTTGTTGGGTGCCAAAGTTTCCAAATTCTGATCTTAAGGAAAAAAGAACTGACATTGTCAGAGAAAATTTAGAGCTAATTAAGGAGGATTTCGTCAAATTCAAAAAGAGATTAGCAACAGGTGATGAAACACGGGTCTACCACTATGATCCCGCGTCAAAATGTCAATCCATGGAATGAAACCATTCCACTTCTCCGGCACCATGAAAATCAAGTCTTCAAGATCAGTGAAGTAAGTTATGGCCACTGTATTCTGGGATGCAAAGAGTGTGATCCTTGTTGATTACTGAGAAAGTCAAAAGACCTGTGCCTACTATCCTGATTTGCTGCATAGCCTGAGAGATTCTGCTGTGCGACAATGTGGGTTCAAGCTTCCTTACCCTCCATACTCACCACACCTGGCACCAAATGATTTCCTCCTGTTTCCTAAACTGAAACAACACCTTGGTGGAAAGCGCTATGACGACAACGATGACCTCAAAGCTACTGTGAATGGGTTTTTCAGGGTGGCTTCAGAAAACTCCTTCCTGACTTGAATTGAAAAGCTTCACTATCGATATGAGAAGTGTATTGAAAAGCAGGGAGATTATGTTGAAAAATAAAATTAAGAACACTTTCACTTTTGTTGGTTTTATTTGTTCGGCTCAGAACTTTTTGACCTGCCCTCGTGTCTGCATATCAGAACTTTTTGACCTGCCCTCGTGTCTGCATATCAGAACTTTTTGACCTGCCCTCGTGTCTGCATATCAGAACTTTTTGACCTGCCCTCGTGTCTGCATATCAGAACTTTTTGACCTGCCCTCGTGTCTGCATATCAGAACTTTTTGACCTGCCCTCGTGTCTGCATATCAGAACTTTTTGACCTGCCCTCGTGTCTGCATATCAGAACTTTTTGACCTGCCCTCGTGTCTGCATATCAGAACTTTTTGACCTGCCCTCGTGTCTGCATATCAGAACTTTTTTACCTGCCCTCGTGTCTGCATATCAGAACTTTTTGACCTGCCCTCGTGTCTGCATATCAGAACTTTTTGACCTGCCCTCGTGTCTGCTTATCAGAACTTTTTGACCTGCCCTCGTGTCTGCATATCAGAACTTTTTGACCTGCCCTCGTGTCTGCATATCAGAACTTTTTGACCTGCCCTCGTGTCTGCATATCAGAACTTTTTGACCTGCCCTCGTGTCTGCATATCAGAACTTTTTGACCTGCCCTCGTGTCTGCATATCAGAACTTTTTGACCTGCCCTCGTGTCTGCATATCAGAACTTTTTGACCTGCCCTCGTGTCTGCATATCAGAACTTTTTGACCTGCCCTCGTGTCTGCATAAAAGTTCCAAATGGATGCAAAAAAATTCAGAATGCATCCATTCGGACACAGAAAATGTGTATATACGTTTAGGAATTAATGCAGCTATTGATATCATTTTAAAAAATAATTTCTTTGAATAAGCATTAAAAAAAATTGATACACAGTTGAAAGGAAGAGAATTTATGGATGTCAACTTTTTTATCATGAGGAACACAATGTTTTGGAGTATATATTTATTCCTTCATCATTTCCCCTATCTTAAAGAGTAAGTATATACTCCAAAACATTGTGTTTCTTATAACAAAGAAGTTGACATCCATAAATTTTCTTCATTATGTGTATCACTTTTAAGTGTCAAACTTATACATGATATTACATTACAAACAAGGAATTAAGCTGTTATATTTGTATTAACAGGCCTCAAAGTGTGGATACTATTTTGGTCGCCATGGCGATTGAAATTTCAACTTGGTGACCAATATTATTTAAGCAGTCGCCACTTGGTTACTTGGAAAAATCAAGCTGGTGGCCTGATATTACAAACTCCCACATCAGGAAACCTCTATCCAAAACATTTCGGACACATGCAGTAGATCTCATTTGCATATTCATTGGATCATGATACAAGTTATCGGACTGGTTTATCGCATCGATAACACCATCCAAGACTGCTTTATAAACCAAGTACAGTGATACTTCACATGACTTTGCTCTATTTGGATCTCTCTCTCTGTTCCAGATGGATTATGGTTCCTTGACAGAAGACAATTATTGTGATTTCCTGGAGGACCACTTCAATGACATTATTCGCTTCATCTCTCCGCCGGTGTTCTTCGGACAGCTGCGCAGCGCTCGAGTCCTCAGTGAAAGTGACTGTGATGAAATCAACAACTTCTACTGTCACCCAACACGGAGAGCCCGTGCAAGTGAGTATGAAATATTGGTGCTATATCATGCTGTGTCACGTGATTACTGATATCATTTAGTAACTCATTACGACACTGATATCATTCTGTGTCACATGATCACTGTCTTTTATCTGTATCTTGTCTATGCTAGATAAAGTTCTGTATGTAGTCTATGCTAGATAAGGTTCTGTATCTTGTCTGTGCTAAGTAAGGTTTTGTATCTAGTCTATGCTAGATAAGGTTCTGTATGTAGTCTATGCTAGATAAGGTTCTGTATCTAGTCTGTGCTAAGTAAGGTTTTGTATCTTGTCTCTGCTAGATAAGGTTCTGTATCTAGTCTGTGCTAGATAAGGTTCTGTATCTAAGCCTATGCTAGAAAAGGTGCTGTATCTAGTCTGCTAGATAAGGTTCTGTATCTAGTCTGTGGTAGGTAAGGTTCTGTATCTAGTCAATGCTAGATAGAGTTCTGTATCTAGTCTGTGCTAGATAAGGTTCTGTATCTAATCTATGCTAGATAGAGTTCTGTATCTAGTCTGTGCTAGATAAGGTTCTGTATCTAGTCTATGCTAGATAGAGTTCTGTATCTAGTCTGTGCTAGATAAGGTTCTGTATCTAGTCTGTGCTAGATAAGGTTCTGTATCTAGTCTGTGCTAGGTAAGGATCTGTATCTAGGCTGTGCTAGATAAGGTTCTGTATCTAGTCTGTGCTAGGACAGGATCTGTATCTAGTCTGTGCAAGGTTTTATGGTAGGTAAGGTTCTGTATCTAGTCTGTGGTAGTTTAGGTTCTGTATCTAGTCTGTGGTAGTTTAAGTTCTGTATCTAGTCTATGCTAGATAAGGTTCTGTATCTAGTCTGTGCTAGGTAAGGTTCTGTATCTAGTCTGTCCTAGTGTAGGTTCTGTATCTAGTCTGTGCTAGGTTAGTTTCTGTATCTAGTCTGTGCTAGGACAGGATCTGTATCTAGTCTGTGCTAAGTAAGGTTTTGTATCTAGTCTATGGTAGGTAAGGTTCTGTATCTAGTCTGTGGTAGTTTAGGTTCTGTATCTAGTCTGTGGTAGTTTAAGTTCTGTATCTAGTCTATGCTAGATAAGGTTCTGTATCTAGTCTGTGCTAGATAAGGTTCTGTATCTAGTCTGCTAGTTTAGGTTCTGTATCTAGTCTGTGCTAGGTAAGGTTCTGTATCTAGTCTGTCCTAGTGTAGGTTCTGTATCTAGTCTGTGCTAGGTTAGTTTCTGTATCTAGTCTGTGCTAGATAAGGTTCTGTATTTAGTCTGTGCTAGTTTAGGTTCAGTATCTAGTCTGTGCTAGTTTAGGTTCAGTATCTAGTCTGTGCTAGGTAAGGTTCTGTATTTAGTCTGTGCTAGGTAAGGTTCTGTATCTAGTCTGTCCTAGTGTAGGTTCTGTATCTAGTCTGTGCTAGGTTAGTTTCTGTATCTAGTCTGTGCTAGATAAGGTTCTGTATTTAGTCTGTGCTAGTTTAGGTTCAGTATCTAGTCTGTGCTAGTTTAGGTTCAGTATCTAGTCTGTGCTAGGTAAGGTTCTGTATCTGTCTGTGCTAGGTTAGGTTCTGTATCTGTCTGTGCTAGATAAGGTTCTGTATTTAGTCTGTGCTAGTTTAGGTTCAGTATCTAGTCTGTGCTAGTTTAGGTTCAGTATCTAGTCTGTGCTAGGTAAGGTTCTGTATTTAGTCTGTGCTAGTTTAGGTTCAGTATCTAGTCTGTGCTAGTTTAGGTTCAGTATCTAGTCTGTGCTAGGTAAGGTTCTGTATCTGTCTGTGCTAGGTTAGTTTCTGTATCTAGTCTGTGCTAGATAAGGTTCTGTATTTAGTCTGTGCTAGTTTAGGTTCAGTATCTAGTCTGTGCTAGTTTAGGTTCAGTATCTAGTCTGTGCTAGGTAAGGTTCTGTATCTGTCTGTGCTAGGTAAGGTTCTGTATCTAGTCTGTCCTAGTGTAGGTTCTGTATCTAGTCTGTGCTAGTGTAGGTTCTGTATCTAGTCTGTGCTAGTTTAGGTTCTGTATCTGTCTGTGCTAGGTAAGGTTCTGTATCTGTCTGTGCTAGGTAAGTTTCGAGTATCTAGTCTGTGCTAGGTAAGGTTCTGTATTTAGTCTGTGCTAGTTTAGGTTCAGTATCTAGTCTGTGCTAGTTTAGGTTCAGTATCTAGTCTGTGCTAGGTAAGTTTCGAGTATCTAGTCTGTGCTAGGTAAGGTTCTGTATTTAGTCTGTGCTAGTTTAGGTTCAGTATCTAGTCTGTGCTAGTTTAGGTTCAGTATCTAGTCTGTGCTAGGTAAGGTTCTGTATTTAGTCTGTGCTAGTTTAGGTTCAGTATCTAGTCTGTGCTAGTTTAGGTTCAGTATCTAGTCTGTGCTAGGTAAGGTTCTGTATCTGTCTGTGCTAGGTAAGTTTCGTGTATCTAGTCTGTGCTAGGTAAGTTTCGTGTATCTAGTCTGTGCTAGGTAAGTTTCGTGTATCTAGTCTGTGCTAGGTAAGGTTCTGTATCTGTCTGTGCTAGATAAGGTTCTGTATTTAGTCTGTGCTAGATAAGGTTCTGTATCTAGTCTGTGCTAGATAAGGTTCTGTATCTAGTCTGTGCTAGATAAGTTTCGTGTATCTAGTCTGTGCTAGGTAAGGTTCTGTATCTAGTCTGTGCTAGATAAGGTTCTGTATTTAGTCTGTGCTAGATAAGGTTCTGTATCTAGTCTGTGCTAGATAAGTTTCGTGTATCTAGTCTGTGCTAGGTAAGGTTCTGTATCTGTCTGTGCTAGGTAAGTTTCGAGTATCTAGTCTGTGCTAGGTAAGGTTCTGTATCTAGTCTGTGCTAGGTAAGGTTCTCATCATGGTTGGTTACCCATCACTAGATGCATGTTTGTTTTGTTGCAGGAACATTCCTTAATGTGCTGCTGACAAAAGGACTGGATGCGTTCAAGATGTTTATGGAATGTTTAGAATACGAGTACCCTCATGTGTTCCAGAAGATCACAAACAGAGTTGCTAAAAAACCACCCTCAGGTGAGTCAGTTCTCTCTCACATGTCATCTGACTGTTAACAAGGCTGCTAGCTGAGGGCTGTGATCCCATCTATGGGATGGGTGGTGCAGTGGTGCAGTGAATGAGAGGGTTGAGTATGGGAGTAGGGACGGGTGGGTGAAGGGAGGGGGGGCTGTTGATACAGGCGTTGTGTGTGCAGTGAATGAGGGGGGGGTGAGTATGGGAGTATGGATGGGTAGGTGAAGGGAAGGCTGGCGGCTGATGATGCAGGTGTTGTGTGTGCAGTGTTGCAGTGAATGAGGGGGTTGAGTATGGGAGTATGGATGGGTAGGTGAAGGGAAGGCTGGCGGCTGATGATGCAGGTGTTGTACGGAGCAGTGAATGAGGGGGTTGAGTATGGGAGTATGGATGGGTAGGTGAAGGGAGGGGGGGGCTGTTGATGCAGGCGTTGTGTGTGCAGTGAATGAGGGGGTTGAGTATGGGAGTATGGATGGGTGGGTGAAGGGAAGGCTGGCGGCTGATGATGCAGGTGTTGTACAGAGCAGTGAATGAGGGGGGGTTGAGTATGGGAGTAGGGACGGGTGGGTGAAGGGAGGGCTGGGGGCTGATGATGCAGGTGTTGTACAGAGCAGTGAATGAGGGGGGGTTGAGTATGGGAGTAGGGACGGGTGGGTGAAGGGAGGGCTGGGGGCTGATGATGCAGGTGTTGTGTGGAGCAGTGAATGAGGGGGTTGAGTATGGGAGTAGGGACGGGTGGGTGAAGGGAGGGCTGGGGGCTGATGATGCAGGTGTTGTGTGGAGCAGTGAATGAGGGGGTTGAGTATGGGAGTAGGGACGGGTGGGTGAAGGGAGGGCTGGGGGCTGATGATGCAGGTGTTGTGTGGAGCAGTGAATGAGAGGGTTGAGTATGGGAGTAGGGACGGGTGGGTGAAGGGAGGGCTGGGGGCTGATGATGCAGGTGTTGTGTGGAGCAGTGAATGAGGGGGTTGAGTATGGGAGTAGGGACGGGTGGGTGAAGGGAGGGGGGTCTGTTGATGCAGGTGTTGTGTGTGCAGTGAATGAGGGGGTTGAGTATGGGAGTAGGGACATGTGGGTGAAGGGAGGGGGGTCTGTTGATGCAGGTGTTGTGCGTGCAGTGAATGAGGGGGGTTGAGTATGGAAGTAGGGACGGGTGGGTGAAGGGAGGGGGGGGCTGTTGATGCAGGCGTTGTGTGTGCAGTGAATGAGGGGGTTGAGTATGGGAGTAGGGACTGGTGGGTGAAGGGTGGGCTGGGGGCTGATGATGCAGGTGTTGTGTGGAGCAGTGAATGAGAGGGTTGAGTATGGGAGTAGGGACTGGTGGGTGAAGGGAAGGCTGATTGGCCAGGGTTGGTTAGGGCCAGAAGGGTCAACTGTTGATGGTTCAGTTACCATTTGTTGCCTTGTTGGTGATTGTCCAGCACATCAAGAATATGCATATTTGTGTAACTTTCAAGCTTTGGTGTCACTGGATGGGCATTGACCAGACAGTTTGGGAGGGTGTCTGAGTACATTCTCACGAACACTCTTCTGTTGCCCTTCTGTTGCCCTTCTGTTGCCCACTGTAGCTGCCATGTTGTATCAGCTGTTCTTGAGGAGGATCAGGAGGGAGGAAGTTGCCCTCAACTGTGGAGCATACTTGATAAGTGTCATTTGATAGTGGTGAAGGAAATAGCAGATGCTATTTACTCAAGTACTAAGGCAATAATTTGTTTTTTACAAAGAGGTTTTAGTATCTGCTGGAAAAGTGGAAAAAAATGTGAGATGCTCTTTTTTTTATGTCATTAACTCCACGGTTAGGTATTCACTAGACCAGGACTTGAGTACCCATGTCTCGGTACCAGGATTTGAGTACCCTTGTCTCTGTATACATGTCTCAGTACCAGCACTCGAGTATCCATGTCTCAGTGCCAGCACTCGAGTATCCATGTCTCAGTGCCAGCACTCGAGTACCCATGTCTCAGTGCCAGCACTCGAGTACCCATGTCTCAGTGCCAGCACTCGAGTACCCATGTCTCAATGCAAGCACTCGAGTACCCATTTCTCAGTGCCAGCAATAGTGTACCCATGTCTCAGTGCCAGCACTCGAGTACCCATGTCTCAATGCCAGCACTCGAGTACCCATGTCTCAGTACCAGCACTCGAGTATCCATGTCTCAGTGCCAGCACTCGAGTACCCATGTCTCAGTGCCAGCACTCGAGTATCCATGTCTCAGTGCCAGCACTCGAGTACCCATGTCTCAGTGCCAGCACTCAAGTACCCATGTCTCAGTGCCAGCACTCGAGTACCCATGTCTCAATGCCAGCACTCAAGTACCAATGTCTCAGTGCCAGCACTCGAGTACCCATATCCAGCACTCGAGTACCCATGCTCAAATGCACTTACTGTGCATCTGAAAATATATCAAGCAGAATGAAAAGATCTTTAGTTTCAGACTCTATATGACACTAATCAAATAATATAGGCATTTTAGGACAATACATAATCCCTCGTGTGGTTTGGAATTTCATCGTGCACTTCTACGCCTGTATCACATTGTTCCTGCTTGTAAAGTCTCAGTGGAATACACAGAGATGACATCAGTCAAGGTATGAGTTTCACACTCACTCATCCTTCAAGTTGTAAATAATTCATTCAGTCCTTGGAGGGATCATATCACCGTCTAAAACAGCTTCGTTTGTAGAACACTTGACCAATCAGAGATGTTTTCCTGGTTAGATATTGAGTTTCCTTGTGTCATGTAGACTGTTTATGACTTTGACACACAGAAGTCAAGCAGCGTTGGTTGCCCAGAGTAGTTGGATGGGTGACTGTGTTTCAGCTGCTTGACTCCTGGGAGTTTCTTGGGTCTTGGTCCACTGAACATGCTGAAGCACATGTGGTGTCTCTCTAGTCAAGTGACTTTGTTCGAAATGTGCCTCTGTTCACCCAGCAGTGAATGGGTGATCAATTGATCAGGGTAATATTATAGCACTTTGATCATGCTTTAGGGTGTAGGGGCGGTCGGGTAGCCTAGTGGTTAAAGCGTTCGCTCGTCACGCCGAAGACCCGGGTTCGATTCCCGACATGGGTACAATGTGTGAAGCCCATTTCTGGTGTCCCCCGCCATGATATTGCTTGAATATTGCTAAAAGCGGCGTAAAACCATACTCACTCACTTACTTTAGGGGGTAGATTGAGCACATTATAGATATGCACAACTTTTTCTGAAGATGCATTCTCAACAGACTGGGGAAGATAGATGCTTTTTTAATGGATATTGGGTCAAAGAAAAACACATTTCTAATTTTCCTGCTCTTTCAGAGTGCTGTATATATCTGACCATGCTAATTGGGATTGAATGTACAGTCAAACACCATTGTGTCGAAGTTGAAGGGACCTGCGTAAATACTTCGAGTTATCCGAGGTTCGACACAACCGAAAATGATGAATAAAGAAGGAATACGCAGGGACTAAGCTTTTACTTCAAGACTGCATAAGTTCGACACAATGGTGTTTACCTGTAACAAACATTCTACCTAAACTTTTCAACAGGGCAACTCTTAAACCTGGAAGGTTATGTGCTGAGTACAGTCTTCTGGAGGCGCCATTATGGTTATTTATGGCCCTTTAAATCAATGTCACTGCCTCACGGGCGTGTATTCATGTGTTCCTCCATCACCTGTGAATACATATTGTTGCTTAGCAAACATCCTTGATTATCAAGTGTATCATTGTCTTCCTTTAAAAAGCTGTCCAATCAAATTACACATGTCTTTCATAAATGAAAAAAAGGATCAATGTCAGCAATATCCCTCCACCTGTGTTCTCGTAATACTCATGAAATCAACTTTCAAGGTAAAAGTTCAGTTTAGACAGAATCCTGATTTGATTATATATATCCCAGGGTTAGTGTGTACAAGGTTGGAATCTACGCAGAACGCCTGTTAAGAATAGGCTCTTTAATTGTTGCTGTATGATCAGCGAGAAAAATGGTGATAAGAGGTAGTGATGGTCTCACTGCCCCCTGAAGCATGGTCAGAGCTCTACATTATTACTGTAGTTAATGGATCAGTGTGCACATGATTCACATTCTCAGCTCCCTGGGGAGTATACAACCCTATGAGGCACTAGACAGTTAAGGGTCACATAAAATCTCATCTCATCCCACCTCGTACCCATTCAGGGCTGGGTGGCATATTTTGAGCAAAGTCATTTGTCTAAGCAGAAATGTGCAACATGTGTTTCAGTGAGGCACTTCTATAATGAGGATTACACTCTTAGAAACTCTCAGGAGTCAACCTGCCAAATTTGGTTGCCCATCCAACTACTTTCTACTTAATTTTGCATGATTTGCCACCTTGTGCAATGTACACAGTATGGCTGGGACGGATAACTCGGGTACTCAGGTCAGGTGGGTCCAGAGTTGGACCCAGGTACCCACAGTAATTCCCGGACGCATGGTTAGTCACGTGATATTTTTTTTAATGACAAAAGCTCACTATAGCTCAGTGGTTACACTACAAGCCGCTAATGTTCGCATTTCTTTCTGACGATGCACAAATTCCTTTTGACTTGTATATGTTTGAGTAAAGATAAAGCTTCAGTCAACTGATCGTTTGATGTATGTGAACAGTTTTGCCAGGGCTGTGGTAAAACAATTCCCAATCAGACATTTTGTTCCAACATCTTGAGACCTACAGTGGGTACCTGGGTTAGGGTTGGATAATAGGGACTCGGGTAATAGGGGGTCGGGTATCCGGGTAGTAAATTTGGAATCATCCAGCCCTAGCACACAGGACCACGTGCCACAATGATTATTGGCCAGAGAACTCACAAGAATGCCCATGTTGGAATCTGACTGAGGCTTGATTTACTTGTTAAAATAGCGCTACACCTCATAGCAGCAATACATATTCACAGGTGATAGAGGAAACTGCCTTTAAATATGTAGAAATGACTCATCTGTACATTGTCCTAAAGGCGAGGTTTCTGGACTAAGGGGTTTTCTGACATGGTGTCACTGTACAGATGTCAAGTGTACCTCAGCTGGGTTGTGATAAGAGGCGATGTCCGGGATCGTGTTGTGAAACACAGGTAGGAAGCAAGGAAATGTAGCTCCCCGCCCTGTTTGCTGTGTACACAAGGTGTCGTTTAATCGCTCATGTGGAACCATCTCAATTTTTTTCTTTGCTTCTCGTCATGGGATCCTAGTTAATATTCCTGTGCTCTGTCTACAGTATTTACTAACATGAGGCACTGATTGCATCAGCTGTTCGCGTCCCCTATAACCAAGCACATTGGGTGTTTCTATATAGTTTAGATTTTGTTTGTTTGTTTCTTTAATGCCGCTCTCAGCAATATTCCAGCTATATGACGAGGGTCTGTAAATAATAAATCTGGACCAGATACTCCATTATATTAAGTAATCACATTCAACCATCTTCCCGAGGCAAGTGAGTTAACTGACTTTAAAAGTCCAGTTTCCACCCTTGCCGAACTAGGCTGGAATTCCTGGGCTCGATCGTAGCGCCTCGATTAAAAGCATGAAAAGATTTGGAAAATATCTGTTGACAACGAGTTAGCGGTGCACATGCTTTGCAAATCCTGCAGTCGACCGAACTATGCATGACACTTTATGAACCGGATTTCGATTTTGGTGCGAGATTTTGATTGGACTATGCATAGACTAGTTAGTCCAGCCAAAATGTAACTCCATAATACCAGCCTAGTTCGACAAGGGTGGAAACTGGACTTTTATAGTCAGTTAACTCACTTGCCTTGGGAAGATGCATTCAACTGTCACGAGCCAATTATTTTTCATTGGTGATAGATCAGAAAAAGTGAAATATACAACAAAATGCAAACAAAGTTCACATAATAATAATTCTTCTAAATAATATTTGATTAAATGTATTTAATGTGTTCTCAGACCACTGCAAACCTCTTATTAAGATAACAAATGTATGAACATGTTCATGTTACTGAAAAACTATAAAAAATCCTGCACTTTAGGCAGAAATATTTCCCCCTACTAGGTCAACTTTAATAAAGTCCAAACTTTTAAGAAAGAAAAAAATTCCCCGAAGTTTGCCTGCCCTTGGCACTTTTATTACTTTAAAATCCTTTATCAATTCTTCAAGTGGTTTTCATCAGCAATTTATCACCTGGTTTGAACATTTCAATAGGTTCTTATCATTACGGTAATGTTGTAATTAGAGGGCATGTAGAGAAGGAAAGTATAGGTGCTTGTCGTGACATTTATTGTAAGTTTGAGGAAAATTGCAACATGTGAATCTTGCTTCAGCTTCCCCCACTTCCTGTTGTATATAAATATGTTGTACAAGTATGCTGTTTGGATGTGTCAAGTCCTGCAAATATACGGGTGACAAGGCAGTGAATGTGTGCAACATGTGAATCTTGCTTCAGCTTCCCCCACTTCCTGTTGTATATATGTTGTACATGTACGCTGTTTGGATGTGTCAAGTCCTGCACATATACGGGTGACAAGGCAGTGAATGTGTGCAACATGTGAATCTTGCTTCAGCTTCCCCCATTTCCTGTTGTATATATGTTGTACATGTACGCTGTTTGGATGTGTCAAGTCCTGCACATATACGGGTGACAAGGCAGTGAATGTGTGCAACATGTGAATCTTGCTTCAGCTTCCCCCACTTCCTGTTGTATATATGTTGTACATGTACGCTGTGCGGATGTGTCAAGTCCTGCACATATACGGGTGACAAGGCAATGAATGTGTGCAACATGTGAATCTTGCTTCAGCTTCCCCCACTTCCTGTTGTATATATGTTGTACATGTACGCTGTTTGGATGTGTCAAGTCCTGCACATATACGGGTGACAAGGCAATGAATGTGTGCAACATGTGAATCTTGCTTCAGCTTCCCCCACTTCCTGTTGTATATATGTTGTACATGTACGCTGTTTGGATGTGTCAAGTCCTGCACATATACGGGTGACAAGGCAGTGAATGTGTGCAACATGTGAATCTTGCTTCAGCTTCCCCCACTTCCTGTTGTATATATGTTGTACAAGTATGCTGTTTGGATGTGTCAAGTCCTGCACATAAACGGGTGACAAGGCAGTGAATGTGTGCAACATGTGAATCTTGCTTCAGCTTCCCCCACTTCCTGTTGTATATATGTTGTACATGTACGCTGTGTGGATGTGTCAAGTCCTGCACATATACGGGTGACAAGGCAATGAATGTGTGCAACATGTGAATCTTGCTTCAGCTTCCCCCACTTCCTGTTGTATATATGTTGTACATGTACGCTGTGTGGATGTGTCAAGTCCTGCACATATACGGGTGACAAGGCAGTGAATGTGTGCAACATGTGAATCTTGCTTCAGCTTCCCCCACTTCCTGTTGTATATAAATATGTTGTACATGTACGCTGTTTGGATGTGTCAAGTCCTGCACATATACGGGTGACAAGGCAATGAATGTGTGCAACATGACAAGTGATATTGATTTTATTGATCTTTGCACGAGCAACACTCATTATGTACTATAGAAGGTCTTGAATTCAGTTTGGGTCAAAGAGTTGCTCATGTTTATTTATCAGAAAAACACTTCCTGAAAGACTCTAAAATCAGCCTTTGTGACCCATTTTAGCCTTACTGGTCACCAACCAGTTATCACCTGAAATATACCGTGTACAAAGTTGACTGTGCCAATAACATTGAATTTGTGAAACTGTGAGCACTGTCAGTTGAAAAAGTTTCAGTAGATTTCTGTAATATGCGGCGATAGGGAATCAAAACAGTAGAAATAGACGTTTCCCATAGACCAACTGTACCAGTTATCGCCATTGTCAAAACAGCACCTGCGTACTGCTTCAGTTATATAAATTACATTTTTTATTATCTCTGGTGTGACGCTCAGTTTTTGTGTTCATTAAAATTAATAAGAAATGCTTTTATCAATTTGTCGTCTGCAAGCTGACATCAACCAATATTCTCCAAACTCGATCTTAATATGCTTATCAATAACACGATGTACTATGGAGTTTGCTATATTTACAGGTTATGCATTTTGGGAAAAATAGCTCAATGAGGTTTTGGGCTTGTATTTTGGGGAAGAAATGGCAGACACATTGTAAGCATTGACAGAACTGAATGTACATCATTGTGTTGTTTGATTTTTGTTTATGGGTGAATTAGTCACATGCAACGTGTGTCTTTTCTAAAGTTGTATTTGAGCTAGGTGATTATATGGCGTTATTTTTAATATTTTCTCACAAGAGTCAGGTTTGTTCAACATTTTCAGATAAATATTTTTCACGCCTAATGAAAATGAACAAAAGTAAAACAAGATGCGATCAGGTGCAAGCTATAACAGGGAGTTAGCGATGATTGGTCCTCGGCAATAACTGGTCTCTGGCCAGTACGTATTAAATCAGTGTTATCATAAAACCTAAACACGCAAGTGTTGAAATGAACAAAATCTAAGTCTCATTCATATGGACACATCTGATAAATTTCATAATGATTTGTAAATCTTTTCCTCGTTTCATAAATTATGCTGATCTAGTGTACCAAAAAGGACCCTTATACCTTGTTGTTTTGCTTGTTGATGGTTGCCAATGAAAGACAGGTTGCAACCAATAAGTAACCAACGCAGTTCATATGAGGTGGGAGTTGTGTTGATCATAGCTTAAACTGGTTTCCGGATGATCAATTTAACAAATATGAACAAAATTAGTCTGTTGAGATGTTATATGATATAACAGGTCAAATTTGATACCCAGATAGTTAGGTCAATATGAAGACTGAAGGTCACAAGCAAGACTTAAACTTAGACTGGTTAACGAGGATGACAATGACCTGTTAGTGAGCACATCATAGTGAGTGAGTGAGTATGGTTTTACGCCGCTTTTAGCAATATTCAAGCAATATCACGACGGGGGACACCAGAAATGGGCTTCACACATTGTACCCATGTCGGGAATCGAACCCAGGTCTTCGGCGTGACGAGCGAACACTATAACCACTAGTCTACCCGACTGCCCCGAGCACATCATAGATAGAGTTTAGTTATGTTAACCACCCCTACACCCACCCCCCTCCAATACATGTAACATTTCTTTTCATCCTCCTCTTCCCTAAAAAAAATGACCAGACCCTAAATGGTGTTCATATTTATAATTTTTTTATTTGAAAAAATAGAAAATAGAACTTTGCCATTTTTTATTGGCCTTGCCCATCACCCTATATAGTTGTCATAAATTTTGGTGAACCCCATTTTACTGTGTCATTTTTTCATGCCTCCCCTCTCAACACACCCATCCATTCCCCCAAGTATCTCTGGTTATTGTTGGATATAAATATTTTCTGAATGGATATCCACATTCATCCTCAGTCAAGGTGTATTTGAGATCGAAACAAATGAAAAAATTAGTGATAACAGTATATTATTAATTTTATTACACTTGACATAATATTGATAGTACAAGTGTAGCTCATCATTGATGTTAACTACCAATATTGATATTATATTTTGTCATTGTCTATGGACAGTTGAGATGCATTGCTAATTTTGATCACTCTTTACATCCCTACAGGCTATGAGCGGCATAATGAGGGTCGTATCTCTCAGAACCTGGAGGAGTTTTCTCGGATGGGGTTCCGCATGGCAAACCTCAACAACCAGAAGAATGATCTGTTCAACCAGCTGGAGGAGCTACAGAGCATGCTGGAGTATGCCGAGAAGGAGAACAAAGACTTGGAGGTGCCAACTTATCTTAAATGTCTTTTAATATATGCCAGAATTAACTTTTGTTAACCTTTCACCTTTGCTTTATCCAGCAGTGTCAGCTTCATTGACCTTGGGTACCTTCTCCTTTGCTTCGTCAACCCGTGTCAGCTTCTTTGAGCTTGGGTACCTTCTCCTTTGCTTCTTCAACCGTGTCTGCTTCATGGACCTTGGGTACCTTCTCCTTTGCTTCGTCAACCCGTGTCAGCTTCATTGTCCTGATGGAACATTTTTCCTTTGCTTCTTCAACCAGTGTTAGCTTCATTGACCTGGGAAAACTTTCTCTTTTGCTTCTTCAACCCGTGTCTGCTTCATGGACCTTGGGTACCTTCTCCTTTGCCTCCTCAGCCGGTATTAGCTTCTTTGACCAACGGCATCTTCACCTTTGCTTCTTCAACCCGTGTCAGCTTCATTGACCTTGGATACCTTCTCTTTTGCTTCTTCAACCCGTGTCTGCTTCATGGACCTTGGGTACCTTCTCCTTTGCTTCTTCAACCCATGTCAGCTTCATTGACCTTGGGTACCTTCTCCTTTGCTTCTTCAACCAGTGTTAGCTTCCTTGACCTTGGGTACCTTCTTTGCTTCTTCAACCTGTGTCAGCTTCATTGACCTTGGATACCTTCTCCTTTGCTTCTTCAACCAGTGTTTGCTTCATTGACCTTGGGTACCTTCTCCTTTGCTTCTTCAACCCATGTCAGCTTCATTGACCTTGGGTACCTTCTCCTTTGCTTCTTCAACCCATGTCAGCTTCATTGACCTTGGGTACCTTCTCCTTTGCTTCTTCAACCAGTGTTAGCTTCCTTGACCTTGGGTACCTTCTTTGCTTCTTCAACCTGTGTCAGCTTCATTGACCTTGGATACCTTCTCCTTTGCTTCTTCAACCAGTGTTTGCTTCATTGACCTTGGATACCTTCTCCTTTGCTTCTTCAACCAGTGTTTGCTTCTTTGACCTTGGATACCTTCTCCTTTGCTTCTTCAACCAACCTTCCCCTTATATATGTTTCAGCATTTTATACCTACAATGTATTTCCAGATATGTTATGTTTCATATTCCCTTATCTGTTTCAGCGTGAGGTACCTACACTGTATTCCCTGATGAGTTATATTCAGCATGAAATAACTGCACTGTATTCTCTGGTGTTGTGTTTCAGCGTGAGATCACCTCATTGAGACCCTATGCAATGGACAACCAGCAACTGCTGGAGAAACAGATGGAAGCTGACAAGGAGATCCGCAACCTCAAGGATGAAAACAGTAAGTAGTGTGCTGAAATAAGCTGAAATGTAGACAGTTAGGCATGGTTATTGCCCATAACAGGAACTGAAAACCATGTGAAAAACAATTAAAACAGATGACACAATCATATGTTTCTTTGCTTAAGCTGCTGCACTTGAAGACAAGTAGGTGTGTGCTGGCGAATAGGTGCCTCACTCTGGCAGTGTGGGCTGTAATCCTGGACGGGACTCAACCAAAAAAAAGTACTAGAATCTAAGCATTACTTAGAAACTGTTATCCTGATTTAGCTTTTGTTACATGTGACCTCTTTCTCGATGGCATTGTGTGTTCATGGCTAGTTTCCTGTTTCTGAGGGTCTGAAGTTGTATTACAGGAGAATTCATGAGAAAGAACATTCAGTACCGAGACGATGTGGAGCGCCAGATGAGCCGCATCGATGAGCTGCTGATAGACAGGGAGGACCTGGAGAATAAACTGAAGGAGAGAAACAATGAGCTGGAGAGGATGAACCAATCACAGGATGTGCTGATAGGTGGGTATACTTGGTGGGGAGAGAATGAACTACTCTCAGCTGTGCTGAGAGGTGAGTATATCTGGACAGAGAGAATGAACCAATCACAGGGTGTGTTAATAGATGAGTATACTTGGTGGGGAGAGAAAGAACCAATCACAGGCTGTGCTGAGAGGCGAGTATATTTGGACAGAGAGAATGAACCAATCACAGGGTGTGTTAATAGATGAGTATACTTGGTGGGGAGAGAAAGAACCAATCACAGGCTGTGCTGAGAGTCGAGTATATTTGGACAGAGAGAATGAACCAATCACAGGGTGTGTTAATAGATGAGTATACTTGGTGGGGAGAGAAAGTACCAATCACAGGCTGTGCTGAGAGTCGAGTATATTTGGACAGAGAGAATGAACCAATCACAGGGTGTGTTAATAGATGAGTGTACTTGGTGGGGAGAGAAAGAACCAATCACAGACTGTGCTGAGAGGCGAGTATATTTGGTACAGAGAGAATGGACCAATAACTGGATGTGTTGATAGGTAGGTATCCTTGGTACAGAGAGAATGAACCAATCACTGGCTGTGCTGCTATGTGTGTATACTTGGTACAGAGAGAATGAACCAATCACTGGCTGTGCTGAGAGGCAAGTATACTTGGTACAGAGAGAATGAACAAATCACTGGCTCTGCTGCTATGTGAGTATACTTGGTACAGAGAGAATGAACCAATCACTGGCTGTGCTTCTATGTGAGTATACTTGGTACAGAGGGAATGAACCAATCACTGGCTGTGCTGAGAGGCAAGTATACTTGGTACAGAGAGAATGAACCAATCACTGGCTGTGCTGAGAGGCAAGTATACTTGGTACAGAGAGAATGAACCAATCACTGGCTGTGCTGCTATGTGAGTATACTTGGTACAGAGAGAATGTTGGTACAAAAGATAAAACCAATCACAACATTTGCTAATAAGTGACTATAGTTGGTGTGGAGAAATGAACCAATCACAGGATGTGCTGATAGGTGGGTATATTTGGTACAGAGAGATACAACAGTCTTCAAGTCACTCACTCACTCACTCACTCACACTGTCCCAGTAACAAGTACCCAGCGGAGTGCTGCATGCAGAGCCTTTATTGGGAAGACCAGACTGAATAGAACGTCTTCAACTTTACTCAACAGTGTCCACCCAAAGTCGTTTTCTAACCTTTGTTTCTTTTACATTTGTTACAGAGAAGTTTGAAGAAGAGCGAAAGAAATCTCAGCGACTCATCAACATAGCAACTCGTAGAGAAAGACATACAGATGACAATGTAGGCTTTTCTCCTTGTCACAGACAATACGGATAATTGTCATTTCTGTTACACCATCAGTTTGTGGTTTACTTAAGCAGGGGACTCGTGAAGATCTGGGTAAAGTAGGTCTTCAGCAACCCATGCTTGCCCTAAAAGGCGACTATGCTTGTTGTATGAGGCAACCAACGGGATCGGGTGGTCAGGCTCGCTCTCTTGGTTGATGCATGTCATCGATCCCAATTGTGTGGATCGATGCTCATGACATCAATCACTGGATTGTCTGGTCCCGACTCGATTATTTACAGACCGCAGTCATATAGCTGGAATATTGCTGAGTGCGGGCGTTAGACAACAAACAAACAAACAAACACATACTTAAGCAGGGAGAGTTTACATGTGAAAAAATGTTAGTGGGATTAAGAATAAGGTACAAACAATTATGTAATGTGATGAAGGTCAAAAGTTTGTCTGTGTTTGCTGCAGTGTAGTTCATGACTTATATCAAGAGCATGTGAGAACGTAGCCTCCCAAATAAACTCCACACAGCACATACAGAAAAAGTCCATATCAGTCATGATATAAGGTGTAGCAGGATCACAAGGGGTATATGTGGTTTTATGCACCCCGCATTACGTTTTTTACCCCGAGCCAAAATAAAACCTAACGAGGGATGCATAAAAACCACATATACTCTTAGTGATACTTTTTATCTTGCCGACATGTTTCAACCTGCCATTGTAAAAAAAATTAACACAAATTAAAATTTGATAGAAAACAGCTGTTCGATTGAACTGTGGTTAACACGTGCTTTGTCACGTGACTTTCATTGACTCATAAAAAGCAAGCAGCTTCTTTTTTATCCATAGTGGGGAGCAAGAGATTTATTGTCCCACTCAAAATTCCATGTGCAGCCTGGTTTCTTTGTTTTGGGAAAAAAAGGATTTATTCCCCTCTCAGAAATTTGTTTCTCGCCCAGTAGTATTTTGTCAAGATCATGTGAAACAATCAGATCTCAGCATTCTGACATAGAGGTTAGGTAAAACATTGTGAACAGGTGTTTTGACTAATTGAGGCAGAGTTGGGCTAGTTCTCAAGTTATTGGTATCTCATTCTTCTTTGTAGCTAGGGAAATATAACCTACATACAGACCGCCTCCGTGGTCTAATGGTAGAGCGTCCGCCTAGAGAGCGGAAGGTCCGGGGTTCGATCCCCAGCCATGTCATACAAAAAGACGTTAAAAGATGGTACTTGTTGTTACCCTGTCTGGCGCTCGGGATTAAGGGGCTAAAACAAGGACTGGTCGGCTCGGAGTCAGTATACTGTGTCTGAGTGGGGTACTCATGTTAAACTGCGGCATGATATCTCAGTGTGCTTGCACTATAAATCGGCATCAGTCCGGACTAGTACAAGCAGCCACACACACATACATGTGCATGCACATCGCTATATGTGTGCAATAATCTTGGACGCGACGTTAAACCCTATTTTCACCTCACCTTCACCTAACCTACATACAGATGAGTGAGTGAATGAGTATGGTTTTACAGCACTTTTATCAATATTCCAGCAATACCCCAAAAATGGGCTTCACACAAGTACCCATGTGGGGAATCAAACCCAGGCCTTCGTTGTGAAGAGCAAACGCTTTAACCACTAGGCTACCCCACCACCCCCTCCTACATACTAAGGGAAATATATCCTATATATTTAGCGAAATAAGCCATTCCTAAGTTTCAGGTGCAGGAATTATGAAATATTGCGAAGTGGGAAAACAAAATCACTAGCACTATTCAATAATTATCAACTTGAAAATAGCAGATCAACACTTGTTACTTGTGTGTTCGTAATGAATAACCCCTGATGCACACAACTGAAATGTTTGTTTGTTTATTGTTTAACGCCGCACTCAGCAATATTTCAGCTATATGACAACTGTCTGTAAATAATCAAGTCTGGACCAGACAATTCTCAGTCACTGACATCATGAGCATCGATCCATGCAATTGTGATATGATGACATGCATCAACCAAGTCAGCGAGCCTGACCACTCGACCACGTCAGTCGACTTTTACGACAAGCATAGTTCCCTTTTACGGCAAGCATGGGTTGCTGAAGACCTATTCTACCCCGGATCTTCACGGGTCCTATGCAATTGGGACAAGATGACATGCATCAATCAAGTCAGCGAGCCTGACCACCCGATCCCGTTAGTCAACTTTTAAGCACAAGCCTGGGTTGCTGAAGACCTATCCTACACCGAATCTTCACGGGTCACCAATAATTAGTGTAATCCAGGAAACAGCTGAAATGAAACTTATAGGATTGTTCACTGAAAAGATTACAATATGGAGATAGCAGTAGAGGGTAGGATTGTTGGATTTTATTCTCTCTAGTTTATTCAAGACATTAAACTTCCAGGTACTGTTTTATTACTGGCTGTTACAGAAACTATGATGTTGTCGTTGTGAAAATCTGTTTTGTTGTAAACAGTCGGATCGGCCACGTGCTCAGAATTTTAAGACGAAGATAGAGATCCTTCAGTGCGACCTTGAGGCAGAGAGAGACAAGGTGAAAGAGATGATCGAAACCTTGGATATGACACAGGCCGACTTGACCAGTGAGAGGCAGGCATCCGAAGCAGTCAGTACTTACTTCAGCTTTTGTTATATGGTGCAAAATCGGATTTGACATATAGTATAATATGGTATTTATTTAGCATGAGAATTTGGAAAAAGAAATAAAAATCATTTAGATATGTTTGATGAAATGGAAAACACACAATCTTCATTAACATGCAATGAAACTGATACTTGAGGTGGAGTACCCCTTTTGTTCAAGGCCAGGATGCCATTATACAAAACACCTTAGCGCTACAACTGTCGTAAGTCTATGTTAAGGTATGGGAGTTACGATCATCTTTGCGCTAAGATAGCTTTGTACAACGGCACCCTGATGTCTTTCGATTTAAAAATTACAAGAAATGTCAATTCTGATCTTGCACCCCGAAATCGTTCCCTATTGGAATCATTAAATGCCATTATTTCATGCATTTACATGCAATTTGGTTTGTAGTGGGTACATCTGTAGTAGGTCTGAACAGTCCCCAAAGTTTTATCTGTTTTTAGCTCACCTGACTGACAGTTAGGTGAGCTTATGTTGTGGGTCATTGTCTGCTGTTGTCTGATTTTCATTTTGACCTCTCCTCTGAAACTTTGTAGAGATTTATTCATAAGAACGGACACATGGCTAAAGTGCAGTTTGACATGACAATATGGGTGGTCACATGAGAGCTCGTAATTGAAAAAGATGTTTTATTGTACATTTCTAGTATTGAGCAAGTTGACCATGGAATGAGTGTTGGTAAAGCGTACTGAGGTAATGCCCTATTCTAATACTTGAGTACTAAGGGCATGTATATCATGATACTTGTAGGCCTATGGAGCTGAAACTATGAAAGATCCCTGCTATAGTGTCTCAAAGTATTCACAGAATTCTGATCCAATTTTAAACATGCATGACGTGGTGACCATATTAAACAAGACACTTTTGACCATTTCTCCGCCATTTCTCCACCATTTCTTTGTGTATATTGAAATTTTAATTGCAGCAAGTATATGGTATGTGAGTAACATATTCTGAGTTTCTGAGATGGAAGATACAGATCATCTGTCCACCAGTAGTAAACAGATAAAGTAGAACTGCAACAGCTATGAATTTCCAGGACATCCCTTCAGTTATTGTATGTGTATGTGTATGTGTATGTGTATGTGTATGTGTATGTGTATGTGTATGTGTATGTAACAGCGGTACTCTGGTCCTCTCAAAGATAAGAGAGTACTTGTTGGGTTCAAGGGATTTATTTTCAATGGGCGTAGAGAACTACACGGTAGTCCGGATTTGCCCTAAAACATACATAATTTGATATAAATATCATGGGTATCATTATAAAGGCACTATATAACAACAATACTAATTATACATTTAAATCTATAATTCCTTACTTTTGGCATATATATATATTAACAAATCCTTCCAGATAAAACAAATTACACTCTCTCTATATATATATAGTTAATCATACATAATTAATAAAACATAAATAGCATACCTCGTCTCAGGGACGCAGGCTGGAAACTCTCTTATATAGAGATGTGCAGTGAAATAGCCCTGCACAAATAAGTATACTACATATAAGTATACTACATATAAATATATCACATAGCCACAGTTACACTTGCATGTATGGAATACAAGCATTATAAATTCTACAAAATACTATACATATATACATAATACATATACATATATCACTTCTAACCAGTTTAAGTCTATTTAATTAAATGTACATTTGGCTATTATCTCAGTAAAATACACAGTTAAGTTGAATTAAGAATACATTAAAATGTCATAATACAATGCTAGCCAAAATACTATATCCAACAACAATGATTAAAATACATAACCTAAGCTTCCAGATAAATAAAGTAATAATTAAATGAACTTACCCTATATGATTCAGTGCAGAGAACGTGTTGAGAACGTGTTAAGAAAGTATGTCCTGACTGCTCAGTAGAAGTGTGATCAGTGTCCCCACATAATTGCAGAGAACATGCAACAAAGCTAGATCACAAAGAGCACCTAATCACAGGCCAAGCCTGTGACCGACGCATTGACAATAGCCAAGAAAGAAATGGCTGAACTACCCAAGCTATATACAGAACTAGCTTACCTGTGAATTAGTAGTTTTTGTGCAAGTGTTGAAGTTAACACAAGTATTTAGTAAAATAAATGTTAAATATTTAGGTTAGCTTATTAATTTAATTCATGTTTGGTTACTATGATCATACTTTAAAATCTAACAATATTCTATTTACAAGCATACTGCTACATGTATGTGAAAGACTTTGTCTGAAGGCTGGTTGGTTATCTGCGCCGCTCCTGAAACTGTGAGTGAGGTTTGAACTTTGCATGGCGACTTGGAGCAAACATGATGGCCTAGTCTGCCAGCACTCAAGATTTCTGATAAAATCATTCATCCCATATGTACTTGATAGCAGAAACATTCAATTTGCTTAAGAAATATACCACAAGGGGGAGTTGTTTATTGTACAATAAAACACTGCAGGGAGAATAAACCATGAGGGGCTGCATTCAATTTGCTTAAGAAATAAACGACTCTGAAGGGAGAATAAATTTGCGCCCCTCATGGTTTATTCTCCCTGCAGTGTTTTATTGTAAGATGAACAACGACCACGAGTCGTTTATTTCTTATATGAGATATCAACATTATGTACAGCCTCTTTAAGGATGTTAATAAAAAGAAGACACTTTAAAAATATTTTCCTGTATATAATAATGATGACTCCCTGAATAGAATGACTGCCACAATGATGGACAAGTCCATTTTATGAACAGGGTTTGGTCTTTCCTGTGTATACTCACAATTTTCATGTCGATTATCTGTTACTTTTTTCCCAATGCCGATTGTCATATCTCTCTAACTTTTGGAAACGATCGTTCGGCAATTGTGTTTATCTATGTTGCCCAATGGGGAACAACTCACTCGACACTTCCCTCTCAAACATAACGTTGTCCAATTTATGACGTCAAGTCAAGTTCCAAGCGCATGTTCGAATCTCCAGAAATGACGAACAATGATAGGACAATGTTTTATCGTGAAATAAACCACGCTTCGTGTTTAATTGTTCTTTGTGATTTATCGCATAGCTGTCTTATATTGGAACTTATGCATAGTCTTTTCTTTGTGAGCCTGTGATGAATTAACTTTGCACTGATGATCTGATTGATGTTTTCAATTAAAGCGTATATTGTCTTGTGACAGCTCCTCCCAGATAAACTGGAACACCTTTTGTATGTTGTCCCATCTGTTGTTACATCTGCTGTTGTTACATCTGCTGTTGTTACATCTGCTGTTGTTCCAGCTGCTGTTGTTACATCTGCTGTTGTTACATCTGCTGTTGTTCCAGCTGCTGTTGTTCCAGCTGCTGTTGTTACATCTGCTGTTGTTCCAGCTGCTGTTGTTACATCTGCTGTTGTTACATCTGCTGTTGTTACATCTGCTGTTGTTACATCTGCTGTTGTTCCAGCTGCGTTGTGAGAAGCTGAAGCTGCAGCGAGAGTGTGACCAGACCCAGCTGTTCCTGAAACATGCAGAGAGGAAGAACGACCAGTACTTCAAGACAATCCAGGAGCTGGAGAAGGAAAAGAGGAAGGTAGGTTGATCCAATGTTTGTTGACTTACTTAAGTGTGGATCGAGTAGCTGGGGCAGAATAGATCCGATGTTTGTTGACTTACTTAAGTGTGGATCTGGTGGCTGGGGCAGAATAGGTCCGATGTTTGTTGATTTACTTAAGTGTGAATTGAGTAGCTAGGGCAGAATAGATCCGATGTTTGTTGACTTACTGAAGTGTGGATCAGATGGCTGGGGCGGAATAGACCCGATGTTTGTTGACTTATTGAAGTGTGGATCTTGAGGCTGGGGCAGAATAGACCTGATGTTTATTGACTTACTAAAGTGTGGATCGGGTAGCTGGGACAGAATAGACCTGATGTTTGTTGACCTACTAAAGTGTGGATCGGGTGGCTGGGGCGGAAAAGAAGCCTGATGTTTGTTGACCATCTAGCCAAGCAGGACAGTGCATGTCTATACTGCCATCTAGCCAAGCAGGACAGTGCATGACTATACTGCCATCTAGCCAAGCAGGACAGCAATGTGCCCGTGACCATGGGGCGACACTGACGCCCCATCTCACGTCATACAGTTATCTATTTACAGGCGGAGGAGGAGAAGATATTGGCCCAACAGAAGTGCTGGGACATTTCGGACCAGAAGCAGAGACTGTTCGTGGCCAAACACAACCTAGAACAGAAATACGACAGGTTACGGCAAAACTATGAACGAGTACGAAATGATTGTCGGTTGAAAGTAGAGGTACAACAATTTGTTACTATTTTGTAATTGATTCTGGTTCATATGCCTGTTAGGTTGAGTGTGATGTGGCTTCCAAATATTATGCTTTAAGCTTGATATGACTAGATATTCTCCTTGATATGACTAGATTTCACCTTAATATGACTGGATATGCTCCTTAATATGACTAGATATTCTCCTTGAAATGACTGGATATTCGCCTTGATATGATTAGAGAATCTTCTTGATATGACTAGATAATCATCTTAATATGACGAGATATTCACCTTGATATTACTGGATATTCTCCTTGATATGACTAGATATTCTCCTTGATATGACTGGATATGCTCCTTAATATGACTAGATATTCTCCTTGATATTACTGGATATTCATCTTCATATGACTAGATATTCTCCTTGATATAACTGGATATTCTCCTTGATATGACTAGGTATTCTCCTTGATATCACAAGATATTCACCTTGATATCTCTTGATAGTCATGACCTCCCGTAATGTTTCAGGAAACTATGCGTTTGTTTGTTACAGGAAGCTGTTGATGGTGGCGTTGACACATTCACTCGCCATGTAAGTAAACAGGCTATATTTGTCTAAATTTGCTGTTCAATCCATTTTACGAACTTGTAATTATCATTTCTAAGTTACTATTGTAAATATACGAAAATAATTAAGTGTTTCAGTTGATTATTGATTTATATCTGGCATTGAATTTTTATTGACATTTTTGATTTGCAGAACATGAAACCATGAAGCTTTCACCTGATGAAAGGGCAAAAATTACCCCTTAAACATGGTTACAAACATTATAGAGGTTGTTGTCCAAAACAAGTTTCATGTCTAAGTTAGTATGCCCTATTGTGCAATCTGTTATATAAACTGTTACTTAGAAACATTTGATAATACTGTGACTGTATTTGTGAGAACAGGGAACATTTACAAAATGATTCTACCTTTCAGAGATTATCCCCGGTGTCTTACCGGCCCCCGCACCTTACCCTGCTAAAGACACATGAAGGTATGGTTCCCAGCCATGGTACTGTGCCTCTCACTGTAGCCTCCCCACTGTAGCCTGTAGCCTCCCCACTGTAGCCTGTAGCCTCCCCACTGTAGTCCCAGACTTTCAAACCAGGGCCCTATTCCACAAAGCTATCGAAGCGCTACGACAGTCGTAAGTCTATGTTAAAGTATAGGAGTTACGTTCGTCTTAGCGCTACGATCGCTTTGTGGAACGGGTCCCTGGGCCCACTTGCACAAAGCGATCTTAGCACTAAGATGATCGTAACTCTCATACTTTAACATAGGCTTACAATAGTCGTAGCACTAAGATCCCTTTGTGCAAGTGGACCCAGGTGTATCAATGCAAGCTTACGACACATACATGCTATGTATAGTGAACCCTGAATTGTCTATACTTTCACACCCAAACATATCCCTAAAGTTTACATGTCTAAGTAAATCAGTTCACATTTCAATTCTTTCCGATAATACAGTATTGAATTATTATCTCAAATGGTTGTAGACCATTAGAATGTTTACGCTGTTATACTGACATGCTTCGTCAGAACCACTCTTGGTTTGAGCCAATAACTTGAACACATACCATCTTCGACGTAATAAGCGCCCTGGGTGCTCTGAAAATTAGAAATAGGCTCTTATTAGAATATTATTTTGGTGAAAAGAAACAGTTGAAAGATAAAATTTGTGGTTTATGCTGACAGCCTGAAATGTTTATGTACGACAGATATATTTTTCCAGAATTTAATTGCCCATAATTAATGGTGCATATAACACACGAGTGCGTATTATACGCGAATAAATAAGTCTTATGTACATTGATCAATTGGAAGGGGTGCTAATTGGGATTGTTCACTAGCCAATATACAGTAAACTACGTTTATAACGAACTCAAAGGGACTACTAATTTTAGTTCGTTATAACCGTAATTCGTTATAAGCATATATACAGCATAACTACAGCAAACAGTCGGGACTAAAAAATTAGTTCGTTATATCCGTCAGTTCGTTATAAGCGTGTTCGTTATAACCGTAGTTTACTGTATTAGCAAATATCGCCGTTGGTGCTAATTATAGTGGGGTGCTTATTACGTCGAATACGGTTATTACTTTTTTATCAGTCCCTAATATATCCCAGGGCAAATTGGAAAGTGAGCTATATCAATCCTGGTCGAATGTCATTTCAACAATCAAAGCTTCTAGTTTCTTGTAAAGGTGAAATGATGAATCTCAATGCACCGTGACACGTGACTTCAATGCGATACACAATATATAGAATATACCTGTATCACGATACATGATACAAAATACTTATATTAACTCTCTTCACAAGAGAATAACCATATCTAAATAGGGATAAATGTGATCTTGATCCGGGGTAGAATAGGTCTTCAGCAACCCATACTTGCCGGAGAAGGCGACTGTGCTTGTTGTAAGAGGCGACTAACGGGATCGGGTGGTCAGGCTCGCTGACTTGGTTGATGCATGTCATCGTATCCCAATTGGGTGGATCGATGCTCATGATGTCAATCACTGGATTGTCTGGTCCAGACTCGATTATTTACAGACCGCTGTCATTTAGCTGTAATATTGCTGAGTGCGGCGTTAAACAACAAACATCATCATCTTAAATGTGATCTTGAAAGGCCTCCTGCCTACGTCCTGTATATCGTAGATTTGGGATGATTTAGGCTCCCCTGATACATTTGATTGCCTCGGAAATGTTAACAAGGAAGAAGTAGTCTATCTTCATTGTTTCAATAATATATATATATCGTTCTGTTCGTAACCTTTGTATTTTTATTCTGGCGTATCGAGATACGTATCATATTGAGACCAGTGTATCACAGTATATATTGTATCATGGTCTGTATCATTGCTCCCCTAGTAGGTTTAAACATATTTAGTTCTCAAAAAGTGAATGGGTTCGGGTACAAGTTCTCCAACTTAGGACACCTTCCCCTTAACAGGTTGACTTAATATTGGTGACTCGCCTGGAGAAAAGAGGCCTTATGGGTGCTAGGACACAATTGTTCTGTGACGTCATAAAGAAAGACGTTTGACGTCAACTCACTTCCGTAAAATTCACAATGTGTGTGGACTGTACAAAAATATATTTTTCTCTCGTCAGTTCGTAATGTAATGAAACATTATTTCAAAAGATTTCAGCATAAATGTCTACTTTAATTTTATCAAATGTTATATGTAAAACCTGCAATCATTACACAAACAGTTACAAGTTGGAAAATGGAACTTTGTGGAAAATGAGTCCAAATGTTTGATGTCAAGTATCTCTGCAATAAAATGTATGGAAGCTTGTGAAGTGAATATTTGTGTTCCTAAGATCCTGTTTGTTTTGAAATATAACGAGAAGTCAAAATGTGATTTTTCACCCAAAAGGTCCCTTATCTCCTGGTGGGTCACGTTGATGGATTGTGACCAGATTCATTGTGTAGATGACTCACTGGTAAACAGGTCCATTTTCATTTCCATGTCCAACAAGACAGATGAATGAATGATTATCAGATCAAAATTGGCTTGGAAAAGAATTCCTAAAATAATTTCAACAAATATTCAGGAAGTTTTAACATAAACATATGATATTTAAATTCAGGTTAGGTTCAATATTAACTGAACCACATGTCACATGACAATGCCTTTTATGGCCTGGGACTGGCTTCGGAATGGAATCAAATATTGATGGATTTATAACACTTTATTTGTTTACACATTTAATCCAAATCAACATCACGTGACTGGTCATATTGGATGAAAACTAATCTGTAATTAAGCGGCCCAAAGCAACAAATACCCACAGGTCTGGGTTCATTTCCCACATGGGTACAACGTGTGAAGCTCATTTCTTTTGTCTCCTGCCATGATATTGCTGGCATATTGCTGAAAGCAGCATAAAACCATACTCGCTCGCTCCCTCACTCCCTCACTCACTCACTCCCTCACTCACTCCCTCACTCACTCACTCACTCACTCACTCACTCACTCACTCACTCTTAGGTTTCATATTTCATACTTTATTATTCATGACTTTAATTGTAAACGAGACATATGTATACGAAGTTGAAATAAAGGAGAAAGTACGCAATAATAGTCAAATGTTGCAAATAAAATTTTAAATGTTACCAATAAATAACTCAAAGTCAGAATTAGGTCTTTAGCAACCCATACTTGCCGTAAAAGGCTACTATGAATGTCGTAAGAGGTAATTATGCTTGTAGTAAGAGGCGACTAACGGGACCGGGTGGTCAAGGCTTGCTGACTTGGTTGATGCATGTCATTGTATCCCAATTGCGTAGATCGATGCTCATGGCGTCAATCACTGGATTGTCTCGTCCAGACTTATTATTTACAGACTGATGTCATATAGCTGGAATATTGCTGAGTGCGATGTTAAACAACAAACAAACAAGGAATTACGGATTGTCTGTTCCTTGTGAACAGATGTTTTCCCTTCCTCATAGCCTGGTCTGTGGGGGCCATTGTAGAGCTGATATTGTCCCAGGCATTTACTAGAGGTGACAAATATGTTGATGGTGCCAACAAGGAAATCTAAAATACAATGAATCAGATGTTGATAGTCTATCTTGCCTCTACCAGGCAGTAGTTTACCAAACAACAGGATGCACATTGACACATTGACACACAAGGCTGGTGGAAATCCAATCACTGCCTCATGACTCATTCTAACAATTGCATTATAAACCTTCGAACTTTGTCTATTGCCTTTTAATCCAGCATGACTTGACTGTCCCAAATCCCACTCTTAACCATAGACTTTGGAGACTGGCAGAACTACGATTTGTGAAATAGTGGCATCCTCATTGATATGTAGACCATCCTTTTCATAGGTGAGGTGAGGTGAAATGGGGTTTAACACCGCGTCCAAGATTATTGCACTTATATAGCGGCGTTCGTGCGTGCATGTGTGCACTTGTACCAGTCCAATCTATAGTGCTAGCCCACTGAGATACCATACCGCAGTTTAACATGAATACCCCACTCAGACACAGTATACTGACTCCGAGCTGACCAGTCCTTGTTTTAGCCCCTTAATGCTGAGCGCCAGACAGGGTAACAACAAGTACCATCTGTTAATATCTTCGATGTGACGCGGCCGGGGATCAAACCCTGGACCTTCCTCTCTCCAGGCGGATGCTCTACCTCTAGACCATGGAGGCGTCTCTCCTCTTCATTATGCTGTCATATTGACTCACTCAGTGGTGGATAATCATGACAACTCATAGCAAGACGTAATAGTATTTTATCATCCAAAACTGGCTCCCACAGGAGATATCGCTTGGATGAGATCAAGCCATATCTAAACTGTAGATATCGCTGCAATGAAATTAAATCACAATGCTTTGCAGACCATTGTGACGTCGTTGGTTACCATGATGCATGGGCGGATATTTCGAAAAAAATCTTTATTTCTGTATAAATTACCACCAAAGACAATAAATAGATTTTAAATGTGCACCCCCCCTTTTCAAAAAAGCTGTATCCGCCCATGATGACGTCACAATCAAATGACATCACTAATGGCTCTGCTACTGAAGCTGTTTGCAGTACTTTTTACACTGAAGACACTGCTAATTACTGTCTACAAATTGAAAAAGTTGAAAGAATGATGTTGGATGATAAATAAAATCTCACCCTCGTGAGTGAGTTAATAAATAGAGAATCTCACCCGAGTGTCTTTTGAGATCAAATATCTCACACTCGTTGATAAAAGTGGCAAAAATCCTCGCCAAGCCTTGGAATTTTTCCACTTTTATCAACTCGTGTTGATATATTTGATATCAAAAGACACTCGGGTGAGATTCTCTATTTATTAACGCACTCATTCAGTGTCAATCATGATTTATAGCACAGATACTGCATTCAATGTAGGAATCACTTTTGGTCTTAGTGGGGTTGTTCTTATAGAGATTACTACATATTTGTGTAGAAGTCGGTCAGAGATGCTTATTAATACAGCGCCTCT